CCAATATCCCCCCATATCCCCCCATATCTTCCCTATATCCCCCCTATATACCCCCATCTCCTCCCTATATCCCCCCCGTTTCCCCCCTATATCACCCCCTATACTCCCCCATATGCCCCCCATATCCCCCATATCCCCCATATGCCCCATATCCCCTTATCTCCCCCCCATATCCCCCCTATATCCCCCCATATCCCCCCCATATCCCTCCTATATCCCCCCCATAACCCCCCATATCCCCCCCATATCCCCTTATCTCCCCCCATAATCCCCCCCATATCCCCCCATATCCCCCCCATATCCCCCCATCTCCCCCCATCTCCCCCTATACCCCCCCATACACCCCCTAAATCTCCCCATAACCCCCTATATCCCCCCATATCTCCCCCATCTCCCCCCCATAACCCCCCATCTCCCCCCATGTCCCTCCCCACTGCCGCAGGCCGGGGACACGGTGGGGGTGCTGCGCCGGCAGGATGGGACCCTCCACTTCTTCGTCAATGGGGCGGCCCAAGGCCCCGCCGCATGGAACGTGCCCCCCAACGTCTACGCCGTCGTCGACCTCTATGGGCAAGCGGCGCAGGCCACCATTGTGGAGGAGGGGGGTGAGGCTATGGGGGGTGATGGGGGCTATGGGGCGATGGGGGTAACGGGGCAATGGGGACATCATGGTCTGGGTTTTGGGTCCCCCATTGGGTGCCCCATTGGGTTCTCCATTGGATCCCCATTGACTCCCCATTGACTCCCATTGACGCCCATTGACTCCCATTGACTCCCCATTGACTCCCATTGACTCCCATTGACTCCCATTGACTCCCCATTGACTCCCATTGACTCCCCATTGACTCCCATTGGCTTCCATTGGCTCCTATTGACTCTCATTGACTCCCATTGACCCCCATTGACTCCCATTGACTCCCATTGACACCCATTGACTCCCACTGACTCCCCATTGACTCCCATTGACTCCCCATTGACTCCCATTGACTCCCATTGCTTCCCCATTGACTCCCATTGACTCCCATTGACTCCCATTGACTCCCGTTGACTCCCCATTGACTCCCCATTGATTCCCATTGACTTCCCATTGACTCCCATTGACTCCCATTGACTCCCCTTTGCCTCCCATTGCGTCCCATTGACTCCCATTGACTCCCATTGCCTCCCATTGACTCCCCATCGCCTCCCATTGACTCCCATTGACTCCCATTGACCCCCATTGACTCCCATTGACTCCCCATTGACTCCCCATTGACTCCCATTGACTCCCATTGAGTTCCATTGACTCCCATTGACTCCCATTGACTCCCATTGACTCCCATTGACTCCCATTGATTCCCATTGACTCCCCATTGACTCCCATTGACTTCTCATTGACTCCCATTGACTCCCCATTGACTCCCATTGACTCCCCATTGACTCCCATTGACTCCCATTGACTCCTCATTGACTCCCATTGACTCCCCATTGACTCCCCATTGACTCCCATTGACTCCCATTGACTCCCATTGACTCCCATTGACTCCCCATTGACTCCCATTGACTCCATTGACTCCCATTGACTCCATTGACTCCCATTGACTCCCATTGACTCCCATTGCCTCCCATTGACCCCATTGACTCCCATTGACTCCCATCGCCTCCCATTGACTCCCATTGACTCCCATTGACTCCCATTGACTCCCATTGACTCCCCATTGACCCCCATTGACTCCCCATTGACTCCCATTGACTCCCCATTGCCTCCCATTGACTCCCATTGCTTCCCCATTGACCCCCATTGACTCCCATTGACTCCCATTGCCTCCCATTGACTCCCATTGCCTCCCATTGACTCCTCATTGACTCCCATTGACTCCCATTGACTCCCATTGACTCCTCATTGACTCCCATTGACTCCCATTGACACCCATTGACTCCCCATTGACTCCCATTGACTCCCATTGACTCCCCATTGCCTCCCATTGACTCCCATTGACTCCCATTGACTCCCCACTGACTCCCATTGACTCCCACTGACTCCCACTGACTCCCATTGACTCCCCATTGACTCCCCATTGACTCCCATTGACTCCCCATTGACTCCCATTGACTCCCATTGACTCCCCATTGCCTCCCATTGACCCCCATTGACTCCCATTGCCTCCCATTGACTCCCATTGACTCCCATTGACCCCCATTGACTCCCCGTTGACTCCCCGTTGACTCCCATTGACTCCCATTGACTCCCCATTGACTCCCATTGACTCCCATTGACTCCCATTGACTCCCATTGACTCCCATTGACTCCCATTGACTCCCATTGACTCCCATTGACTCCTCATTGACTCCCATTGACTCCCATTGACTCCCCATTGACTCCCATTGACTCCCATCTCCTCCCATTGACTCCCCGTTGACTCCCATTGACTCCCATTGACTCCCCATTGACTCCCATTGACTCCCATTGACTCCCCATTGCCTCCCATTGACACCCATTGCCTCCCATTGACTCCCCATTGCCTCCCATTGACACCCATTGACTCCCATTGACCCCCATTGACTCCCATTGACTTCCCATTGACTCCCATTGGCTCCCATTGACTCCCATTGACCCCCATTGACTCCCATTGACTTCCCATTGACTCCCATTGGCTCCCATTGACACCCATTGACTCCCCATTGACTCCCATTGACTCCCATTGACTCCCATTGACTCCCATTGACTCCCCGTTGACTCCCCGTTGACTCCCATTGACTCCCCATTGACTCCCATTGACCCCCATTGACTCCCTATTGACTCCCTATTGACTCCCATTGACTCCCATTGACTTCCCCTTGACTCCCATTGACTCCCATTGACTCCCCATTGATTCCCATTGATTCCCATTGACTCCCATTGACTCCCATTGACTCCCCATTGACTCCCATTGACTCCCATTGACTCCCATTGACTCCCCATTGACTTCCCATTGACCCCCATTGACTCCCATTGACCCCCATTGGATCCCCATTGACTCCCATTGACTCCCATTGAATCCCATTGACCCCCATTGACTCCTCATTGACTCCCGTTGACTCCTCATTGACTCCCATTGACTCCCATTGACTCCCATTGAGTTCCATTGACTCCCATTGACTCCCATTGACTCCCCATTGACTCCCATTGACTCCCATTGCCTCCCATTGACTCCCATTGACTCCCATTGACTCCCATTGCCTCCCATCGCCTCCCATTGACTCCCATTGCCTCCCATCGCCTCCCATTGACTTCTTGTCTCTCCCCTGCCCCACAGAGACCCCCTTGTGCCCCCCATCTCCTTGCCCCCCGGCGGCTGGGGCCGGGTCCTCCCCTCCAGCAGGGGGCGCCGCGGGGGAGCTGCGCTTCCACCGGCGGCACGGCGCCAACGCGCTGCTCACCAACGGCGGGCGCACGGCGCTGCGCCAGAACTGCCGCGCCGAGTTCAACGACGCCATCGTCGTCTCCAACCGGTGAGCGACCCACGGGGACCCATAGGGACCCATTGAGACCCATAGGGGTACATAGAGACCCCATTGAGACCCATAGGGACCCATAGGGGCCCATAGGGACACATAGGGACCCACTGAGACCCATAGAGACCCATAGAGACCCATAGAGACACCGTAGAGACCCATAGAGACCCCATTGAGACCCATAGAGACCCAATAGAGACACATAGGGACCCATAGGGACCCGCAGAGACCCCATTGTGACCCATAGAGACCCCATAGGGACTCCATAGAGGCCCATAGGGACCCATAGGGGCACATAGGGACCCATAGGGACCCATAGAGACCCCATTGAAGCCCATAGAGACCCCATAGGGATCCCATTGAAGCCCATAGAGACCCCATAGGGACCCCATAGAGACCCATAGGGACACATAGGGAACCATAGAGACCCCATTGAGACCCATACAGACCCCATAGGGACCCCATAGAGGCCCATAGGGACATATAGGGACCCATAGGGACACATAGGGACCCATAGGGACCCATAGAGACTCCATTGAGACCCATAAGGACCCATAGAGACACATAGGGACCCATAGGGACACATAGGGACACATAGGGACCCCATAGAGACACATAGGGACCCCTTAGGGACCCATAGGGACCCATAAGAACCCCATAGAGACACATAGAGATCCATAGAGACCCATAGGGACACATAGGGACACATAGGGAGCCATAGAGACCCACTGAGACCCATTCCGACCCATAGGGACTCATAGGGACCCATAGGGACACATACAGGGACAACAGAGACCCATAGAGGGACCAAAGAGAACCATAGAGAGACCATAGAGACCCATTGGGACCCCCAGAGACCCATAGAGACCCACAGAGAGCCGTAGAGACCCATAGAGGGGCCATAGCGACCCACAGAGGAACCATAAAGGGACCATACAGATCTACAGAGGGACCAAAGAGACCCATAGAGAAACCATAGAGACCCCATAGAGGGACCATAGTGGACCCATTGCCCCCATTACCCCCATTCCCCCCCACTGCCCCCTATCACCCCCTTGCCCCCCATTACCCCCATTGCCCCCCATTACCCCCATTGCCCCATTACCCCCCATTACCCCCCATTGCCCCCATCACCCCATTGACCCCATTACCCCCATTGCCCCCCATTGCCCCATTGCTCCCCATTACTCCAATTACCCCCTATTGCCCCATTGCCCCCCCATTGCCCCCCATTACCCCCCATTGACCCCATTGACCCCATAGCCCCCCATTGCCCCCCATTGCCCCATTACCCCCCATTACCCCCATTGCCCCATTACCCATTACCCCCATTACCCCCATTGCCCCCCATCACCCCATTGCCCCCCATTGACCCCCTTGCCCCCCATCATCCATAGGGCGCTGCGGGATGGGGAGCTCTTTGAGATCGTCATCCAGAAGATGGTGGATCGATGGTCGGGCTCCATCGAGGCCGGTGAGATGGGGGGCGCAATGGGGGGCTATGGGGGGCTATGGGGGTTCAATGGGGGGCTATGGGGGGCTATGGGGGGCAATGGGGGGCAATGGGGGGCTATGGGGGGCAATGGGGGCAATGGGGGGCAATGGGGTCAGTGGGGGGCTATGGGGGGCTATGGGGGGGATGGGGTCAGTGGGGGGATGGGGTTAGTGGGGGGCTATGGGGGGCTATGGGGGGGATGGGGTCAGTGCGGTGCTATGGGGGGCTATGGGGGTCAATGGGGGGCAATGGGGGTCAATGGAGGGTATGGGGGGCTATGGGGGGGATGGGGTCAGTGGGGGCCTATGGGGGGCTATGGGGTCGGTGGGGGGCAATGGGGGCCTATGGGGGGGATGGGGGGCAATGGGGGGCAATGGGGGGACCCCCAATCCCCCCACCACCTGACACTCCTCATGGACACCCATTGAGGTCCGTTGACCCCATTGATCCTCATTGATCCCCATTGATCCCCATTGCCCCCCACTGAACCCCATTGATCCCCATTGCCCCCCATTGCCCCCCATTGCCCCCCATTGACCCCCATTGCCCCCCATTGTCCCCAAGGGGTCACCGCCATCCGCCCGGAGGACCTGGAGTTCCCCAACACCATGACAGACATTGACTACGACACCTGGATGCTGAGGTGGGGACGGGCGCCCCATAGCGCCCCATAGCGCCCCATAGCGCCCCATAGCACCCCATAGCACCCCATAGCCCATATATATCTCTGTATCCCATTCACATCCCATATATATCCCATACGTGTCCCATACATGTTCCATACACGTCCCATACATGTTCCATACATGTTCCATACACGTCCCATACACGTTCCATACACGTCCCATACACGTCCCATACACGTCCCATACACGTCCCATACACGTCCCATACACGTCCCATACACGTCCCATACACGTCCCATACACGTCCCATACACGTCCCATACACGTCCCATACACGTCCCATACACGTCCCATACATGTTCCATACACGTCCCATACACGTCCCATACACGTCCCATACACGTCCCATACATGTCCCATACACGTCCCATACACGTCCCATACACGTCCCATACACGTCCCATACACGTCCCATACACGTCCCATACACGTCCCATACACGTGCCATACACGTCCCATACACGTCCCATACACGTCCCATACACGTCCCATACACGTCCCATACACGTCCCATACACGTCCCATACACGTCCCATACACGTCCCATACACGTCCCATACACGTCCCATACACGTCCCATACACGTCCCATACACGTCCCATACACGTCCCATACACGTCCCACGTCCCACACGTCCCATACACGTCCCATACACGTCCCATACACGTCCCATACGCGTCCCATACACGTCCCATACACGTCCCATACACGTCCCATACACGTCCCATACACGTCCCATACGTGTTCCATACGTGTCCCATACACGTCCCATACACGTCCCATACACGTCCCATACACGTCCCATACACGTCCCATACACGTCCCATACACGTCCCATACACGTTCCATACACGTCCCATACACGTCCCATACACGTCCCATACACGTCCCATACACGTCCCATACACGTCCCATACGTGTCCCATACACGTCCCATACACGTCCCATACACGTCCCATACACGTCCCATACACGTCCCATACACGTCCCATACACGTTCCATACACGTCCCATACACGTCCCATACACGTCCCATACACGTCCCATACATGTCCCATACGTGTCCCATACACGTCCCATACACGTCCCATACGTGTCCCATACACGTCCCATACGTGTCCCATACACGTCCCATACACGTCCCATACGTGTCCCATACACGTCCCATACGTGTCCCATACACGTCCCATACACGTCCCATACGTGTCCCATACACGTTCCATACACGTTCCATACACGTCCCATACACGTCCCATACACGTCCCATACACGTCCCATACACGTCCCATACGTGTTCCATACACGTCCCATACACGTCCCATACACGTCCCATACACGTCCCATACACGTCCCATACACGTTCCATACACGTTCCATACACGTCCCATACACGTCCCATACATGTCCCATACACGTCCCATACATGTTCCATACACGTCCCATACACGTCCCATACGTGTCCCATACGTGTCCCATACACGTCCCATACACGTCCCATACACGTCCCATACACGTCCCATACACGTCCCATACACGTCCCATACACGTCCATACACGTCCCATACACGTCCCATACACGTCCCATACACGTCCCATACGTGTCCCATACATGTCCCATACACGTCCCATACATGTTCCATACACGTCCCATACACGTCCCATACACGTCCCATACACGTCCCATACACGTCCCATACACGTCCCATACACGTCCCATACACGTCCCATACACGTCCCACGTCCCATGTCCCATACACGTCCCATACACGTCCCATACACGTCCCATACACGTCCCATACACGTCCCATACGTGTCCCATACACGTCCCATACGTGTCCCATACACGTCCCATACACGTCCCATACACGTCCCATACACGTCCCATACACGTCCCATACACGTCCCATACATGTCCCATACACGTCCCATACATGTCCCATACACGTCCCATACACGTCCCATACACGTCCCATACACGTCCCATACACGTCCCATACACGTCCCATACACGTCCCATACACGTCCCATACACGTCCCATACACGTCCCATACGCGTCCCATACACGTCCCATACGCGTCCCATACACGTCCCATACACGTCCCATACACGTCCCATACACGTCCCATACACGTCCCATACACGTCCCATACACGTCCCATACACGTCCCATACATGTTCCATACATGTCCCATACATGTTCCATACACGTCCCATACACGTCCCATACACGTCCCATACACGTCCCATACACGTCCCATACACGTCCCATACACGTCCCATACACGTCCCATACACGTCCCATACGTGTCCCATACACGTCCCATACGTGTCCCATACGTGTCCCATACACGTCCCATACACGTCCCATACGTGTCCCATACACGTCCCATACACGTCCCATACACGTCCCATACACGTCCCATACACGTCCCATACACGTCCCATACACGTCCCATACACGTCCCATACGTGTCCCATACACGTCCCATACACGTCCCATACACGTCCCATACACGTCCCATACGTGTCCCATACACGTCCCATACACGTCCCATACACGTCCCATACACGTCCCATACACACGTCCCATGCACGTCCCATACACGTCCCATACACGTCCCATACACGTTCCATACACGTCCCATACACGTCCCATACACCCCATCTGTCCCATACACGCCCCATAGCGCCCCATAGCACCCCATAGCACCCCATTGTACCCCATCTAAACCCCACTCTATCCCACTCTACCCCATTGAATCCCACTCTACTCCACTCTCCCCCACTCTGCCCCATTGAACCCCACTCTGCCCCATAGCGCCCCATAGCACCCCATAGCACCCCATTGTACCCCATCTAAACCCCACTCTACCCCATTGAATCCCACTCTACTCCACTCTACTCCGCTCTACCCCATTGAACCCCACTCTGCCCCATAGCGCCCCATAGCACCCCATAGCACCCCATTGTACCCCATCTAAACCCCACTCTATCCCACTCTACCCCATTGAATCCCACTCTACCCCATGGAATCCCACTCTACCCCATGGAATCCCACTCTACCCCATGGAATCCCACTCTACCCCATTGAATCCCACTCTACCCCATTGAATCCCACTCTACCCCATGGAATCCCACTCTGCCCCATGGAATCCCACTCTACTCCACTCTAATCCATTGTACCCCACTCTACCCCATCTAAACCCCATTGTACCGCACTCTGCCCCATTGAACCCCACTCTGCCCCATAGCGCCCCATAGCGCCCCATAGCTCCATCCCATAATACCCCTGTGCATCCCCATAGCGGGACGGCGGTGATGCAGGACGGGAACACGCTGCGGAACAACTCCGCCTGCGCCCTATAGCCCTATCCCCATGGGCTCTGCCCCATAGCGCCCCATAGCGCCCCATAGCACCCCATAGCACCCCATTGTACCCCATCTAAACCCCACTCTATCCCACTCTACCCCATTGAATCCCACTCTACTCTACTCCACTCTGCCCCATTGAACCCCACTCTGCCCCATAGCGCCCCATAGCGCCCCATAGCACCCCATTGTACCCCATCTAAACCCCACTCTATCCCACTCTACCCCATTGAATCCCACTCTACCCCATTGAACCCCACTCTGCCCCATAGCGCCCCATAGCTCCATCCCATAATACTCCCTGCATCCCCATAGCGGGACGGCGGTGATGCAGGACGGGAACACGCTGCGGAACAACTCCGCCTGCGCCCTATAGCCCTATCCCCATAGCACCCCATAGCACCCCATTGTACCCCATCTAAACCCCACTCTATCCCACTCTACCCCATTGAATCCCATCTAAACCCCATTGTACCCCATTGTACCCCATCTAAACCCCACTCTATCCCACTCTACCCCATTGAATCCCACTCTACTCCACTCTACTCCACTCTGCCCCATTGAACCCCACTCTGCCCCATAGCGCCCCATAGCACCCCATAGCACCCCATAGCACCCCATAGCACCCCATTGTACCCCATCTAAACCCCACTCTACCCCATTGAATCCCACTCTACTCCACTCCACTCTGCCCCATTGAACCCCACTCTGTCCCATAGCGCCCCATAGCGCCCCATAGCTCCATCCCATAATACTCCCTGCATCCCCATAGCGGGACGGCGGTGATGCAGGACGGGAACACGCTGCGGAACAACTCCGCCTGCGCCCTATAGCCCTATCCCCATGGGCTCTGCCCCATAGCGCCCCATAGCGCCCCATAGCTCCATCCCATAATACCCCTGTGCATCCCCATAGCGGGACGGCGGTGATGCAGGACGGGAACACGCTGCGGAACAACTACGGCTGCGACCTGGACGCGCTGGGCACGGGGTCCCGCATCGGGATGATGAGGACGGCGAGGGGGGATCTGCGTTACTTCATCGATGGGGCTGACCAGGGGGTGGCGTGCTCGGGGCTGCCCCATGGTGAGAGCAGGGGTGTATGGGGTGGGGGGTGCATGGGGTGTGAGGTATGGGGTGTGGGATATGGGGTGTGGGGTGTGGGGTATGGGGTATAAGGTGTATAGGGTATATGGCATATGGGGTATGGGATGTATGGAGTATGGGGTGTGGGGTATAGGGGGTATGGGGTGTATGGGGTGTATGGGGTATGGGGTGTGGGGTGTGGGATATATGGGGTACGGGATATGGGGTGTATGGGGTGTGGGGTGCGGGGTGTGGGATGTATGGGGTGTGGGGATGGGGGTGTGGGATATGGGGTATGGGGTGTATGGGGTGTATGGGGTGTGGGGTGTATGGGGTGTATGGGATGTATGGGGTATGGGGTATGGGGTGTGGGATGTGGGGTGTGGGATATGGGGTGTATGGGGTATGGGGTGCATGGGATGTGGGGTGTATGGGGTGTGGGATATGAGTTGTGAGGTGTGGGATATGGGGTGTATGGGGTGTGGGGTATGGGGGGTATGGGGTGTGGGGTGTATGGGGTGTGGGGGGTATGGGGTATGGGGTGTATGAGGTGTATGGGGTATGGGGTGTATGGGGTGTGGGGGGTATGGGATATGGGGTGTGGGGGGTATGGGGTGTATGGGGTATGGGGTGGGGGGTATGGGGTGTATGGGGGGTGGGGTGGGGGGTGTGGTGTGAAGTGTGGGGTATGGGGTGTGTGGGGTATGGGGTGGGGGGTGTGAAGTGTGGGGTATGGGGTGTATGGGGGGTGTGGGGTGGGGGGTATGGGGTGTGGGGGTGGGTATGTGGGTTATGGGGTGTGGGGGTGTATGGGGTGTATGGGGTGTGGGGTGTATGAGATGTGGGATGTATGGGATATGGGCTGTGGGGTGTGGGGTATGGGGTCCATGGGGTATGGGGTGTATGGGGTGTTGGGATATGGGATGTATGGGATGTGGGGTGCATGGGGTGTGGGGTATGGGGTGTGGGGGGTGTGGGGTGTATGGGGTGTGGGATGTGGGGTGTGGGGTATGGGGTGCATGGGCTATGGGTTATGGGGTGTGTGGGGTATGGAGTGTGGGGTGTGGGATACGATGGGAATGGGATATGGGATAGAGTGGGGTATAATGGGTTATTATGGGATGTTACTGTGGGTCATTATGGGGTAGCTATGGGTCCCTATGGGTCCCTATGGGTTAGCTATGGGTCCCTATGGGTTAGCTATGGGTCCCTGTGGGTCCCTATGGGTTAGCTATGGGTCCCTATGGGTCATTATGGGTTAGCTATGGGTCCCTATGGGTCATTATGGGTTAGCTATGGGTCCCTATGGGTTAGCTATGGGTCCCTATGGGTCCCTATGGGTCCCAATGGTTCCCTATGGGTTCCTATGGGTCCCTATGGGCTCTATGAGTCCCTATGGGTCCCTATGGATCCCTATGGGTCCCTATGGGTCTCTATGGGGTGGCTATGGGTCCCTATGGGGTGGCTATGGGTCTCTATGGGTCCCTATGGGTTCCTATGGGTCCCTATGGGTTCCTATGGGTCGCTATGGGTCCCAATGGCCCGCGCCCCTGCCCCACAGAGGTCTACGCCGTGGTGGATCTCTATGGGCAGTGCGTGCAGGTGTCCCTCACCGGGGCCTCGGGCCCCACAGACAACAGCCTGACCCCCAACTCCGCCCCCGACAAGGCCTGCGCCCTCCCCTCGCCAGGTGGGACCCATAGAGCCCTGCGCCCCATAAGTGCCATTGACCCCCATAGCGCCCTGTGCCCCACAAGTGCCATTGACCCCCATTGACCCCTGCGCCCCACAAGTGCCATTGACCCCCATAGCGCCCTGCGCCCCACAAGTGCCATTGACTCCCATTGACCCCTGTGCCCCACAAGTGCCATTGACCCCCATAGCGCCCTGTGCCCCACAAGTGCCATTGACTCCCATAGCGCCCTGTGCCCCACAAGTGCCATTGACTCCCATTGACCCCTGTGCCCCACAAGTGCCATTGACCCCCATAGGGCCCTGTGCCCCACAAGTGCCATTGACCCCCATAGCGCCCTGTGCCCCACAAGTGCCATTGACCCACATAAGGCCCTGCGCCCCACAAGTGCCATTGACCCCCATAGACCCCCGTGCCCCACAAGTGCCATTGAGCGCCCTGTGCCCCCAGTGCCATTGATCCCCATAGCGCCCTGCGCCCCACAAGTGCCATTGACTCCCATTGACCCCTGTGCCCCACAAGTGCCATTGACTCCCATAGACCCCTGTGCCCCACAAGTGCCATTGATCCCCATAGCGCCCTGCGCCCCACAAGTGCCATTGACTCCCATTGACCCCTGCGCCCCACAAGTGCCATTGACTCCCATTGACCCCTGTGCCCCACAAGTGCCATTGACTCCCATTGACCCCTGCGCCCCACAAGTGCCATTGACCCCCATAGGGCCCTGTGCCCCACAAGTGCCATTGACTCCCATTGACCCCTGTGCCCCACAAGTGCCATTGACCCCCATAGCGCCCTGTGCCCCACAAGTGCCATTGACCCCCATAGCGCCCTGTGCCCCACAAGTGCCATTGACCCCCATAGCGCCCTGCGCCCCACAAGTGCCATTGACTCCCATTGACCCCTGCGCCCCACAAGTGCCATTGACTCCCATAGACCCCTGTGCCCCACAAGTGCCATTGACTCCCATTGACCCCTGTGCCCCACAAGTGCCATTGACTCCCATTGACCCCTGTGCCCCACAAGTGCCATTGACCCCCATAGCGCCCTGTGCCCCACAAGTGCCATTGATTCCCATTGACCCCTGTGCCCCACAAGTGCCATTGACCCCCATAGCGCCCTGTGCCCCACAAGTGCCATTGACCCCCATAGACCCCTGCGCCCCACAAGTGCCATTGACTCCCATTGACCCCTGTGCCCCACAAGTGCCATTGACTCCCATAGCGCCCTGTGCCCCACAAGTGCCATTGACCCCCATAGCGCCCTGTGCCCCACAAGTGCCATTGACCCCCATAGCGCCCTGTGCCCCACAAGTGCCATTGACCCCCATAGGGCCCTGTGCCCCACAAGTGCCATTGACCCCCATAGCGACCTGCGCCCCACAAGTGCCATTGATCCCCATAGACCCCAGTGCCCCACAAGTGCCATTGATCCCCATAGCGCCCTGTGCCCCACAAGTGCCATTGACTCCCATTGACCCCTGTGCCCCACAAGTGCCATTGACCCCCATAGCGCCCTGTGCCCCACAAGTGCCATTGATCCCCATTGACCCCTGTGCCCCACAAGTGCCATTGACCCCCATAGCGCCCTGTGCCCCACAAGTGCCATTGACTCCCATTGACACCTGTGCCCCACAAGTGCCATTGACCCCCATAGCGCCCTGTGCCCCACAAGTGCCATTGACCCCCATAGCGCCCTGTGCCCCACAAGTGCCATTGACTCACATAGGGCCCTGTGCCCCACAAGTGCCATTGACCCCCATAGTGCCCTGTGCCCCACAAGTGCCATTGATCCCCATAGCGCCCTGTGCCCCACAAGTGCCATTGATCCCCATAGCGCCCTGTGCCCCACAAGTGCCATTGACCCCCATAGCGCCCTGTGCCCCACAAGTGCCATTGACCCCCATAGCGCCCTGCGCCCCACAAGTGCCATTGACCCCCATAGCGCCCTGTGCCCCACAAGTGCCATTGATCCCCATAGCGCCCTGTACCCCACAAGTGCCATTGACTCCCATTGACCCCTGCACCCCACAAGTGCCATTGACCCCCATAGCGCCCTGTGCCCCACAAGTGCCATTGATCCCCATAGGGCCCTGTGCCCCACAAGTGCCATTGACTCCCATTGACCCCTGTGCCCCACAAGTGCCATTGACCCCCATAGCGCCCTGCGCCCCACAAGTGCCATTGACCCCCATAGCGCCCTGTGCCCCACAAGTGCCATTGATCCCCATAGCGCCCTGCGCCCCATAAGTGCCATTGACCCCATAGGGCCCTGTGCCCCACAAGTGCCATTGATCCCCATAGCGCCCTGTGCCCCACAAGTGCCATTGATCCCCATAGCGCCCTGCGCCCCACAAGTGCCATTGACTCCCATTGACCCCTGTGCCCCACAAGTGCCATTGATCCCCATAGCGCCCTGCGCCCCACAAGTGCCATTGATCCCCATAGCGCCCTGTGCCCCACAAGTGCCATTGACCCCCATAGCGCCCTGTGCCCCACAAGTGCCATTGACCCCCATAGCGCCCTGCGCCCCACAAGTGCCATTGACCCCCATAGCGCCCTGTGCCCCACAAGTGCCATTGACCCCCATAGACGCCCTGTGCCCCACAAGTGCCATTGACT